CCCCACGGCTCCGGCAGCAGGGAGAGAGCCTTGTAGCACTTGATTTTCTCAGGTTAGTCCACACCAGCAGCTGAGAGCTTCACATAGAGGTCCCGGAGTTGATCGAACGCTCCTTGTACGGCATCACCCTCGTTGATCTTCACCGCATGGAGTTGTCGCTCGAGCACCACCACCATTGCTTCGCTGCTGGGGGCATGGACATCCTTCAATATCTTCCATGCCTTAGGACCACACTCAACTTCCTTGATGAGATGCTTTATGTGGTGCAGCTGGTTGGATGAGAGGTATTGGGACAGAAGGAAGAATCCATCCTTGGACCGGCGATCCCATTCCTTGGTCGCTCCTTCGCTCGCAGGCCTCTTCAATTCTCCACCCATCACCTCAAGCAGCCCATAATGGTTGAAGAGGAGCTCCATACTGAAGCTCTATGATGCCCAATCCTCCCCGGAGAACTTCTCTAGGTTGAATGTCTTCACATCATCCTTAGCTGATGTTGAAACGGAATGCATTGGTGCAGATCCGCCTGCAACGCCTCTTCCCGCTTCCCCAGCGCCTCTCACGCCACCACTGCCACTGGGACCAGCTGGAGCAGAACCTTCAGCCTCCATATTCACCCACAAACAGAGTAAAATAGCTCTGATACCACTTGTTATAGTCTTCAGTCCACTTAGGGGTCGCGGATGCCCATGAAACCGCCTAAGTAGAAACTGACGACTTCGAACCGCCTCTGTTCAAAACGCCGTCATGATCAGCTCCGATAACACACGAGGCTGAAACTTAGACAACAGTTAGCCTTAGGTGTCTGCTTTCCAACGATGTATTGCTTGCTTTCATCAGAGGTGTATGCACTACGCAATGAACGAAAACGTAAGCTCGGCTGAAAACGTGTATTCTCATTGATGCAAGGAAGAGGTCAGTACAACATGGCCTAGGGAACTGTTAAGGGGTTGGGATCATCCTGGGAACTCAGAGAAGGTTGAGTCCTAGGGGAGAAAGGCTAGAGAATGATGAAAACATCCTAGCTGGGTCAGCAAAGCCAACCACACTTGGATGTTCAGAGCTGTACCCAAGGCTACCAATGGTGTTTCAAGCCAACCATGAGTCAGCTTGTCTTCCCACTTGCACCCTCTTGCAAGCTGCTTCCAAGAAGACCACACTTCTCAAAAGGAGGGTGGTAGAGTCCCACTTGACCACCTGTACTTCTTGTCTCATTCTCTGTCCTTGCACCATTGGCATGACAACAATGAAAGGGTGGCAAGGAAAATGCTGCCAACAGTGCACCATGACTACGGAGCAGTGACTTTCGACAGCTGTCACGCAATGCTCCAATGTTGGATCGTTCGAAAACTTGGTGACCACCTGCACAACAGGGCAAAGGACTGCCAGACTGAATTTCAGATCAATCAGAGCTCGTCAGACGAGTCAGCAGCCGAAATGGTGAACTCGGGTGTTACCAAAAAATGAGTAACACACACTTCCGGGATGCCATAAGTCTTGAAACTTAAAATGTTGTAATGCCTTGTTAACTGCTTCAAAAACCCTGAAACTTTGAGGGTTTGAAGAACACATGTTGAAGAACCTCCCCACAAAATTCCAGAAGCTGAGCAGGCTTGTAGGCCGAATGGGAGTGCGATGACCGTGCCACTATAATGTGTTGGCACAACTCTTCCGCCTTGTGAGATCTTCAACACAGGTTTTGTGTGCAGTTAGGCCTTATTAACACAAGTTCTCGTCTTGTGTAGACATGTGTTGTCTGCTTGCTTTGTTTGTACTCTTTACATATACCTCTGTTAACTGTCAGACTGGCCTTGTGGCCTCTTGTTTGTGCTCGGATTGTGTGGTGACGTTGTGATCCACCTTGAGCTTTGTCTCTTTGTGACTGGTCTTGTGACTGTACGGTTTGGTTGTTGCATGACACCCCTCACTTAGGCTATTGGGGTGTGTCAAATGTTGTAGCCTGTAGTGAGGCATGTCATGTGGGGTAAAGTTGTTAGGGTTAGGTATATGTACCCCAAGTCACAGTAATACATCATTCATTCCGTTTCTAACAAAGAAATACTCCTGTTTTGAGACCATGTTTTGCGCTCCTCTCTGCTGCCCTCCAGCTTGAGCCTCTCATCCAGCAGTAGCTCAGTCAGGGAGATTACCAGCACCAACGACAATGGCCTCGGTACCATTGAAACGCCATTCTGCACCTGTAACCCTGTCTGGCCTCTTCTCTCTGCAGTTAGTGTGGTGTGGTTCCTTATACAGTAGCATGTGGGTATGGTGAGGTGAGTGGTGCGGGGCAGTGCAGTGGCATGCAGTGGCATATGTTGTAGCGAGTAACATGTGGTGCGGCGCAGTGTTGGGTTTTGGTGGTGATCTGACCGGTGTGGTGGAGTGCGGTGCGGTTTCATCAAGAATGTGTACTTGAACCGCTGGGACCAATATGGTTGGATCGGCTCTTTTTAGGTAAGCCCCAACGTGGCTTTTGAGAATTCTCAAAAGCGGATCAGTTAGTCTTGTGTAAGGCTGCAGTCCAGAAAAAGGTTGCAGTCCTGTATAAGGATAGAGTTTTGGATAAGGCTACAGCTCTGTATAAGGATGCAGACCTGTATAAGGCTGTAGTTACATATAAGGCTGCAGTTCTGTATAAGGCTGCTATTCACATTCAGGCTTATACAGGACTGATTTTTTATTCAACTTCAAAGTTTTGAGACGTCTCAAAAGTCCTCTATTCAGGCTAATACATGACGGTTTAACCTATTCAACTTCAAGGTCTGTGTGATCCTGTATGCAATTCTATCCTGTGTGCCTTGGTGCACAGAGCAATGGTGCCTTGGCGCCTTGGTGCATAAAACAGTGGTGCCTTGGTGCACAGAGCAGTGGTGCCTTGGTGCCTTGATGCACAGAGCTGTGTTGCCTTGGTGCACAGAGCAGTGGTGCCTTGGTGCACAGAGTAGTGGTACCTTGGTGCACAGGGCAGTGGTGCCTTGGTGCACAAAGCAATGGTGCCTTGGTGCACAAGGTAATGGTGCCTTGGTGCACAGAGTAGTAATGCCTTGGTGCACATAGCAGTGGTGCCTTGGTGCACAGAGCAGTGGTTCCTTGGTGCACGTAGTGACTCTCACAGCAAAGGGTACCAGAGCTACTCTTATTTTTCCCTCCGCACATTTCCTCCTGCATGTTTCTCTCTTTTCCATTACTAACTCAATTCAACAACGCCCAATGAGGCCCAACTCACTCGCTCACTCGCCTCGCTCACTCGCTCACTCACTTCACTCATCCACTTACTCACCCACTCACTCACTCACTCACTCACTCACTCACCCACTCGCTCACTCGCCTCACTTACTCGCCTCGCTCATTCGCTCACTCACCTCATTCACTCGCTCACTCGGCCAACTCACTCGCTCACTTGCCTCAAGTCCGTAGCACAGAGGCCTTGTGGCGACGTGAGTTGCGTTGTTTTAGGCAAACTTGAAGTTCGGTACCTGCTGATCAGAGAGGAGTACGGGAGACAACGTTCTCAGGGAAGGCATTCGGAAAGCGTCATGAGGGGCGCTGCACGGTGAGGCGAGGAGAGGCTGGAATGGCGGTCGTAGAAACAAAAGCGCCGAGGAGAAGATAGACGCGATATAGCATGGCAACAAAAATGCGTCATACAAAATGACACAGCGAGAAAGAAGCTATGTAAAAGAGATGGGAATTAGATCCAGATATTTTGTTTGTGAGGCAAATATCCTAACCATTAGAATGCTACGCTGTAATGGTATGTAAATAATCAATATAGAATGTAACACAAACCTAGAATTCTCTCTGCATGACGAAGCTAATGACGGTCGTCATTATTCTCATGTTTCCCGTTGGGTCCTTGAGCGACACAGTGGGGTAACCTCGCGAGGGTTCCCCAATCCTTGAACAACTCTCATCAGTTGTTGAGTTGACTGAGTTATTGTCCGTTGTTGAGAGTCGTTGCACGACTGCCTTGGCATTCCAGCTGCCCACTCGACCGAGCAGGAACCTCTACGACCATAGTCGTGCCAGCAAGGCAGAGAGCAAAGAGCCATGACGATGAGGTCAGGGTCAGAGAGGAAAGCGAGGCAAGGGGAGAAGCTAAGATCACGGTTCTGAAGGAATCTGGACGTCGTGCGAATTGACTTCACACGATCGCCGGGAGTCGTGCATGCAGAGTTGATTGGGCGCGAGGTTCCGCATTTCGTCAACGGTCGCACACGCAAGTGTCGGTTGGCGGCACGTGGGGTAAATCTGGCGCAACGTGGGAGGGAGCTGCCAGGCTGGACCCAATGCACTTTTGGGACGCTTGATGTAACTCTGTGTAACCCACGGAGATTCCCAAGAAGGCGATCTAGTCTCATCGCCCGAGGTACAACTGATTTCAACTAATTTCACGAAGTACCACCCTTTCTGGTGCAGTCGTAGTGTCAGCAGCCAGAATCACAATTCGTTTTCTAGTTGGGTCCTTTGAGCGACATAATGGGGTAACTTCGCGATGGATACTCCAACGGATCCTTCCATCTCGAGCTCATCTCGGCGTCGAGCTTATCTGGGATGTCAGTGACACCAGCAGTGTCGTTGAGGGTCATTGTGCGTTGTTGTAAGTCATTGTACCTGTTGTTGTACTGCATGTGAACCACACGACCGAGCAGGAACCTCGACGACCATAGTCGTGCCAGCAAGGCAGAGAGCAAAGAGCCACGACGATGAGCAAACGCGGGAGGAAAGCGACGCAAGCGAAGGCAAAACTTTAGCTTCATCGCCCGTGCCGCTTACTATTGATTTCACGAGGTACCACCCTTTCTTCTGCAGTCGTAGTGACAGCATCCAGAGTCTCGAGAATAAATCTCCGAGTGCCTCGGCATTTTCTTTGTCATTTTCTTTTCAAATCTACCGCCGTTCCCCTGCTGCCACTGCAACCTCTCTATGGCTTCTCACAAACAACACTCACATTCTGAGAAACAACATTCGTTGCTTTATGAGGAACGGCCTTATCGATCATGGGCTTTTCTTCTCCTACCATCGCTCCTCCTCACTCTACCCGTAACGCTCTCACGCCCCACCAACGCTGGTGAGCAAACGGCTATACACCACGGCGCTCCGTAGCTTCCTATATACATCCCTTCCTTAGCTTCCTCATAGCGGCCCTTTGTAATACATCCTCGGCCTATTATGCTCCCTCCCTTCCCCCACTCACTCCCATTTCCACTTCTCTCCCTGGCCCTGCTCTCCCTGGCCCTGCTCTTTCGGCCAACGACTCGCAGCTGCCCGTAATGATGCCTGCACGCTCAACAAGTTGTCCCCCTTCCCTCCCCCATTCCCTTGTCATTTCCAGCTCTTCCGCACGCTCCACTCCACCCCATGTTACCGCTGCTCTGCCGCTTCGTGCCGCCTCTTTCCCTCAGCCCCTCGTCCTGTTCCCCCCATCCCCGCAGCTTCCCCCTCCCATGGCTCCGCGCTCTACATCGTCCGCCTGCGCTCCGCACCGCCCGTCGCCTCGTACCGCGGGGGAATCCCTGGCTTCGCGGCAACGGCCGCCTGGGACAGCGACCCTAACGGCAACGCGCCAGGCACCGCCGCATCTGATGATGACGCCCGCGGTGGCGTTGGCACGGCTTCCGCTGCTCCTGTCACTGCTGCTGCTGCTGCCACTAGCGGTTCAGGAGGGACCAGCCGTGTGCGGCGGCGGCCGCGGGTGAACGTGAGGGCGCCGGGCGTGAGGGCGTTCAAGCAGCTGCTGCAGCGCATGCAGCAGGCCGTGCTGAGAGACAGCGGGGTGGACGCCGGGAAGATGGTTTACAGGTGAGGGGAAGATGGTGTATAGGTGAGGGGAAGATGGTGTGCAGGTGAGCGTGAGAGGAATGTGGGGGACTTGCACGAAAGAACAAGAATACTGACAGCTGCTAGTGCACTTGCGTATCCTGTTCCTACTGCTTCTGCAGCACATGCGACAGGAGGTGGTGGAGAACAGAGGGCTTACTGTGGTAGGGAGGGAAGGTGAGCTGTGGTGGGGAGGGAAGGTGAGCTGTGGTAGGGAGGGAAGGTGAGCTGTGGTAGGGAGGGAAGGTGAGCTGTGGTAGGGAGGGAAGGTGAGCTGTGGTAGGGAGGGAAGGTGAGCTGTGGTAGGGAGGGAAGGTGAGCTGTGGTAGGGAGGGAAGGTGAGCTGTGGTAGGGAGGGAAGGTGAGCTGTGGTGGTTATCGAGACGTTTGTCCAAGGCCCAGGCGATTCAAAGGCGGATGCAGCAAGCTGTGGGAGCATGGCGGATGGGCTTGGATCTCAGAAACCCATCTCAGAAATGGTCAAATCACCGCACTGCACCGCACCGCACCGCACTGAACCGACGGGTTGACGTATATACGTCATGACTGGGCTGCTTCCCTCCCAGGCACTCTCATGGCAAGACGGTTGGGTTCCCCTGCCCTCCCTGCCCTCCCTCCTTCCCCCCTTCTCAACTACGTGCATGTGTTGAATGGCTTTGCAGCGACCCTCACCCGTTCGTTTCCCCTACCCGCCCTCCCCTGCGCGCCTTCTCTCTTCTTCCCCTGCCCACCCTCCCTCCCTCCCCCCTTCTCAGCTACATGCACGCATCCAACGGCTTCGCAGCGACCCTCACGGCAGCGCAGGTGCAGCGCATGAGGCGGCACCCCTCCGTGGCGTCCGTCACGCCCTCTCGCACCATCACACGCCGCCGCGCCGTCACTGCCGCCGCCGACGGGCACAAGTCTCTCAACCTGCCCCACGCCCGTGCTGCTGCTGCTGCTGCCACTGCTGCTGCTGCTGCCACTCCTGCTGCTGCCACTCCGGCTGGAGCGCCGAGCGATGGTGATGACACGGTGATTGGGATTGTGGACAGCGGCGTGTGGCCGGAGCACCCCTCCTTTGACGATACGGTACGCTGAGACCCCTCACCTTATGAGCAGCTGCTGCTGCTGTTACTGCTGCCGCTGCTGCTGCTGCTGCCGCCGCCGCCGCCGCCGCCGCTGCTGCTGCCGGAGAGACTAGTAGTGGTGTTGTTGATGCTGCTGTTACCTCCTTCCTTCCCTTCACCATCCTTGATGACGTGTCCTCCCTCTCTTCCCTCGCTCCTCCTTTTTCCATCTCGCCGCTCCCTCCCTTCTCCTCGTTCTCCTTCGCATCCCCCCTTTGGTTCCCTCTTTCCCATCCTTTCATCTCGCCGCTCCCTCCCTTCTCCTCATTCTTTCTCCCTTCCTTCGCATCCCCTTTGGTTCCCTCTTTCCCATCCTTTCATCTCTGCCTCCCCGTCCCACCGCAACAGACGACTATCGTCACCAGCTTTTTTTCCAATCAATTGCCCCTCCACCCTCCTCGTCCCCGCCAGGGCTACAGCAGCACGCTCCCTGCCGGGTGGGCGGGCACGTGTCCCACTACAAGCGACTTCGCATGCAACAACAAGATCATCGGAGGGGGGGAGTTTCACGCGGGGTTAGAGAAGAGCAGGTATAGCGACAGCTTCAGCCTCACCCTCAACTGGCTGTCCCCGCGGGATTCTGATGGCCATGGCACTTGGTGTGCTGGGTGAGTGCTGGGACGTGCTGTGCGTGCAGCAGGGATGTGTGGTGAGCGTAGGGGTTTGAGAGCAGGTGTATAGACGGTCTCAACCTCACTCTTGACTGGATGTCCCCGCGGGATTCTGATGGCCATGGCACTTGGTGTGCCGGGTGAGTGTAAGGATGTGCGGTGAGTGTAGCAGCGATGTGCGGTGAGTGTAAGGATGTGCCGTGAGTGCAGGGACGTGTGGTGACATGTGTGGTGAGTGTATGCAGTAGCAGTATGCAGGCAGCAACAGCAGGCAAATAGCGGTAGCAGGAAGCAGCAGCAGCAGGCAAGTGGCAGCAGCAGGCAAGCGGCAGCAGCAGGCAAGCGGCAGCAGCAGGCAAGCGGCAGCAGCAGGCAAGCGGCAGCAGGGGAAGTGCCAGTGGCGATGCCATGGCCTTGCATGGTATTTTTTTTAGAATTCTCAAGAAAGACACGCTGCATGGTATGGTGTGGTCTGCCTTGGGATTGCACAGCGTGGCGTGTTAGATAGTAGTTTGGCAGAGAGGGGGGAAGAAGAATATGCATGTGGTGTGGCCAGGACATTCCCGTCTCGTCCCTTCATAGCCGCTCCTTCCATTCACTTCATACCCATGTCGCCCCACCCTTAGAGCGGCAGCGGGCAACAGCGGCGTGAGCATGCCTGGCTGGGACACGGTCAGTGGCGTGGCTCCCAAGGCACGCCTGGCCATCTACAAGGTGTACTGGTGCAGCACGCGTACTTACGACATACGCGCTTCAGAAACAGACGTCTTTGCAGCCGTTGATCGGGCCGTGGCGGACGGTGTGGATGTGCTGACCCTGTCGCTGGATGACTCGTCGCACAGAGAAATTATGGGCGACGGCAAGGGCACCGGAGCCTACTTTGACGATGTGCCTTTCCTCGGCGCCCTTGCGGTGGGTGTCAGGGGCGTGCGGTGGGTGTGGTGTGGCTTAGCTGGTTGGCCCTAGCATGTTCTTGGATTCACGTGCATGCGAGTGCGGGGGTATTCTTGAATGTGAATTCGCATGCAACTCACCGCTTTCTACCCTCCCTCCCTCCCTCCCTCCCTCCATCCCTCCCTCCCTCCCTCCCTCCCTCCCTCCCTCCCTCCCTCCCTCCCTCCCTCCCTCCCTCCCTCCCTCCCTCCCTCCCTCCCTCCCTCCCTCCCTCCCTCCCTCCCTCCCTCCCTCCCTCCCTCCCTCCATCAAACCGGGCTATTTGTAGAATTCGCAGTAGGCAACAACACCTGCCCGTCACCGACACCTGAGATTTACCGACACCTGAGATTCACCGACACCTGAGATTCACCGACACCTGAGATTCACCGACACCTGAGATTCACCGACACCTGAGATTCACCGACACCTGAGATTCACCGACACCTGAGATTCAGCAATTTGAAACCTTTCAACCCTTTGCCCCTCTCAGTCCTCATTCTCGCCTCTTCTCCCCCCGTCTTTTCCCCCACTCCCTCCTTCAGGCCGGAGTGACTGTGGTCCTGGCAGTGGGCAACGGTGGAGAGGCCAAGTTCCATTACATGTATGGTACTCTTGTGGGTATCGGCAACTTTGCACCCTTCTATATCAGCGTGGGGGCAAGGTGAGAGTGAGGAGCGCTAATATCAGCATGAGAATGAAGAGTGGCTGAGGTTGCATTGCGTCCCCATGCTCTTACAGAGGACGGCCTCATGCATGCTCTGCAACGGGTGACATGAGATGCTATCACCCTCTACTGCTACATTCATGACATGCCATGAGTGCATGTGCACGCGTTGTCCTTTGCAGGCAAGGCAAGGTACGTGCTTGTTTGTTCTACGCGCTGCAGCTTTGCGCTGCACTACTTTTTCCTCCTCTTTTTCTTCCCTTGAATCATGCGTTTTCCCATGCTCCCTTCCCTCGTCTTGCATCTCTCCCTCGTCTTGCATCTCTCCCTCGTCTTGCATCTCTCCCTCGTCTTGCATCTCTCCCTCGTCTTGCATCTCTCCCTCGTCTTGCATCTCCTGCTGCCCTTCTCATGCTTACACACACCTTCCATGCCTCACCATGCAGTACGCTGCCACAGGCTTCCCTCACCTCAACATCAACATCAACATCAACATCAACATCAACATCTACATCAACATCAACATCCACAGCAGCAGCAGCAGCAGCAGCAGCAGCAGCAGCGGTAGAATCTCCTGCAAACACCACAGGCCCAGCAGCATCAACACTGCTGGGAACCCCACTCCCAGCCACCATCTCCCCTGCAGCAGACACCGCCCTCCCCATCGTTCCCACCTGGTCCTCCACCGGCCCTCTCACCAAACCCGGCTGTTCGTTATGCCGACCATTGAAGCTCCTCCGCCGCGCCAACGCCATTGTCAAGCCAGACGTCATCGCCCCGGGAGCCAGCATCCTTGCAGCTGAGCCCGGGCATAAGGTCGGCGAGACGGGGAAGTTTAGGGTTTATGATGAGGACACTGCCATCTCTGCGGCGCTTGTTGCTGGTGTGGCTGCTCTGATCATCCAGCAGCATCCTGATTGGACGCCCGCGCAGGTCATGTCTGCAATGATGACAACAGCTGGCCGCACTGACAGCAGCAACAGAGTGATTCGGAATGTGAATGGGGAACCGGCAACGCCCTGGCAGATGGGAGCGGGGCATGTGTTTCCCGCTAGGGCGCTTGACCCCGGGCTGACCTACGATGCCGGGGAGCAAGATTTTCGGAATTTCCTTGCTGGGCTGAACATGAAGCTGGCTCGGAGGGTGTTCGGGCCGGTGCAGCTGACACCCGTTGCACCCAGGCACCTGAACCGGCCTTCTATCTCGCTGGTCAACATAATCACTAAACTCACCGCTAGGCGGACTGTGACGAGTGTTTCAAACACCACATCGACCTACAGGGTGAGGGTTAACGCCCCTGAGGCAGTGAGAGTGAGGGTGGTGCCATCGCAGTTTACCATAGCGCCGGGGCAACGGGTCAGTTTCAAGGTGAAGGTTGTGGTGAGGAGCAAGTTCAAAAGGTTCAAGTACGGCAGCCTCACATGGGAGGATGACAAGGGGCACTCTGTGCGCTCAGTCCTTGTTCTCCATTGCAAACGTACTTGCATGTACTATTGCTAGATCATTAAGTTGTGTCAATCAGAGGTGCGCCGTGCAAGCATAATGTATTTCTATTACATACTACTCAAATCTGAGGGTACCAGTACATTCCCACAAGTTACGCTTTGATTGGCGCGTTCCAAACATGACAGCTTTATGATATGAAGGCCTTGGAATTGCAGTATGTTTAAAGAGCATCGTTGGTCCTTGCAGAGCTGGTGGGGATGTCGTTGAGTGAGTTTGGCTCCCGTCTTGGGAGGGAGTTATGGTACTGTGGTTCCCCAAGTTTCCAACTCATGAGTTTTTCCCCTCCTACCTGCGGGGGGGGAAGCGGGGGAGAGATGGAGGGGGACCCACCCACCACCCTACACGACACTCTTTGCAGCAGCAAAGCAACAGTTTGTTCGCGCCTCCCAACCACAGACAGGGTACCGTAGCTGCACAAGCAAGTGATAAACCTTCGCTTCTTTGCCCCCCAAAGTGCAATGGCGCTTTAACTTCTAGTGTTGGCATGTGAACGGCGTGCCAGGGATGCCATTCCTTTGTGCACGCTTGCTGACTGCTGCGTGCCGGAAAGGAAACAAAGGATTCGAAACATGCGGGACAGTCAGCGTAGTACTGTAAACCCAGAAAAGAAACGCCAGGCCTGTTAAGCAACGTCTTTAGAGGCGAGGCGACCAGTGATGAGGTGTGCTGGGGTGTGATGGGGTGTGCTGGGTTGTGATGAGGTGTGCTGGGGTGTGATGGGGTGCGCTGTGGCGAGTCCACCTAGAGCCAACGGATGCAGAGCTGAACCTGGTGAGTGGATGCTATTTTCACATTGCGGTCTGGTGGTTGTTGCGCTGTGAGATGGGTTGGCATCGGAACACTGCTGTTCCATCCGTTCATTACTCCCCTATGCATTGCCCTCAATTCCCTACCCTCCCCTGCCCACCCCTGTCCTCCCCTGCCCACCCCTACCTCCCCCCTGCCCACCCCTACCCTCTCCCGTCCTGCGTGCCATGCATGCGGGGGTGAGAGCAGGTGATGATAGCAGCGGATGCCAAGCCACCTGTGGCACGAATCATGGACTACAGGTGAACGCTCAGTGCTCACCCACTCACACTGGCTAGTAGCTCAGAGACATGATGCTATGGTCGCGCTGGCTTGTGGGTGCATGTGTGTGTGTGTGTGTGTGTGGGTGTGTGGGTGTGTGTGAGTGTGTGGGTCGCGCTGGCTTGTGGGTGCATGTGTGTGTGTGTGTGTGTGTGTGGGGGGGTGTGGGTGTGTGTGAGTGTGTGTGTGTGTGTGTGTGTGTGTGTATTTGTGTATGTGTGTGTGTTGCTGTCTCTTAAGCACTCTCAGCGTTTCTCTGATGATCAGACATTGCCTTGATTCTGTTTTTTTTTTCTGCTGGGCGTGAACCTAGTTCACCCCACCTGCATCACCCCACCTATTTCATCCTCATTACAGCAAGTTCTGGTACGAGCAGCAGAAGAAGAAGCGTGAGCAACAGAAGAAGGTTGCTGCTAGCCACCAGGAGATCAAGGAACTCAATCCCTCAGTCACCATCTCACTCACTCACTCACTCACTCGCTCACTCACTCACTCTCTCAACCCTTTTCCTCCTCACTCGCAAATGATGTGACTTCCTTATGTCATGCCAACCGTCCATCCCCGTGAGCAACCTTGGAGAGCTGATGAAAAGGGTCATCAGGAGCTCCTCACCGCCTTCTCTGCTGCTCCTCTCCTTTCTCTTCTCCGTCTTCATCCCTTTTTTCTCGCTTCTCCTTTGTTTCTCTCTTCGCATCTCTCGTATTGGTTCTTTTGCTCCCACCGTGTTGTGCTGCTATGCTATGTCAGTCAGTGACCTAAACATTGCATGTGGACTTCAGGATTGCATGGTGATTTTGAAAGCGCACATTATCACCCCCTCACTTTCCTCCACTCCAACAATTCCTCACAGCTTCTCCACCCCCCCAGCTCCCCTCCTTTTAACCCCACGTTTCCTACAATAGGCAATTTAAATCGCACGATTCCACCAAGGATTGACGACACAGCATCGGTTTGAACGAACGGTACTATGGCAGCCACTATAGTCTTAGAACACAAATTACGAAGACTTACGAGTTTTGGAATGACTCCCAGCTCCTACAAACCCCAAGAGCCGAGGTACAGTGATGTGGAACAGTGCCACACTGTCCCCAACCATGAAGGGTCTCGAAACTACCCACCACAAGTGTAAGGATTTACAAATTCCTTCCTGAGGCACTCGTTAGCGAGGCCCTCCCGAGGGTCACGCGACGAACCTGTTTTTCCTATTTCGTCGCACCGAACCACTCCCGAGTCGCCTCCGCACCAATCGCAACCATCACCGAGCCATCCTCGCCCAACCTCCCCGCCTAGCTAGGACTTCCCCTATTTAGGCCTCGTCACTTTCATTGTATCATTCAGTAATCAACCATTCTCGTTATTCGTTTTACTGCGCACTCTGCGAGTTCATTCATAACACCTGGTATCAGAGCTACTTTTCTAGCTCACCCCGCTTTTTAGAGTGTAATACCCCTCGGGGGGGGGGGGGGGGGGGGGGGAGGGACGAGGAAGGATGCCTTGGGGTCCAGGAGTTGCCTAGGCCGGCCAAGAGAACGGGTTAGTTGCTCTTCGCGGCCATGGATTTATCGTGCACTCCTCGGCACCGCCGGATCCTTGCCTTCGACGTTTGCGATCGACCGTGACCTCCCTCCCCCCGGGCAACGGGCAGCAGTAGCTGTCGCGACATTAAAGTGAGTAATTTCCGCTGCGATTTCCGACGATTTCAGAGGTTTATTCGTGTGGCAGCTGGCGTCAGCGGACCTGCGTCGGCATCTGCATGAACAGCCTCGACGTCGTCACTGTGTATGGCTGTTGACGCCGGCGGACCTGAGTCAACTGCTGCGCGACGATTCCGGAATCGTCCTTACGCGACAAGTTGACGTCGGTGGCACACGTCAACATGTGCGCGAAATTTTCGGGAGATCCTCGGCAGCTGGCGACAACGGGCCTGCGTGAGGAAGGGCGACATTTTTGGAGCTTCTGTTGAAGAAAAGGTCAGCTGGGGAACTCGCCAGGCGCAAATGGAGTTTGCGTCCGAAAATGTCAGTGGACGAGGAGAGACGACACGCGAATTGCCCGAATAATGCGGGGTCAACTGTCGTCCCGCCCGACCTGAAGTGCAGCGGCTTTTACTGCATGGCGGGCGCGTCATCGAAGATTTCGGAAGGAGTGCACGTGGACAGACAAGAACTTCAGCCCCGCCGACACTTACGGGTTGCAACACAAAACGGAGTGGCTAAATCGCATCTAGGAGGAGTGGGGCGCAGGCGGCGAGGGCAATTCGGGCCCATACACCCCAAAGAACACTCGGATGACGCTGCGTGCCTGGTACTGTTGACTGCTGGCCGGCCATTTCGAGAGTGGATTCCCTGTAAGGAAGTCATTTTCGGGGACAGCCTTAGCAGCCCACGATCAAACGGCGTCCAAGGTACCACCCTGACATTTACGGAGGAGAGTGGTACGGCCGCCGGGACACACGGGAAGAAACTACCCGACGGCTAAGCGGGGGTTGAAGAACGGCGTGAAGGGCAGGTTAAAAGCCGGTGTAAACGATCTGTGACCTTCCGTCGCCCGAACCTCACCATCCCCACCAAGTTTTAGTTCTGACTCATGCAGTCAACTTACTTGCCCGAATAACGGGGGTGAACACGGGCCTACCCTGCACTGGTTAAAGGCACCTGGGCTGGTGCTCGTTCGAGAGCTGTACAGAAAAAAAAAAAAACAAAAAACAAAAAACAAAAAAAACAAAAAAGGGAAGTTGCGGCACTGTTCTACTCCGGCAAAAGCGGGCTGGGTGAAACAGCACGCGAAAAAATCGGGGCGCCGCAAGGACAACAATGGTGCAGTTCGCTGGTTTCTCCTAACCCGGGCGTCTACACAAATTGACGGCGCAGCTGCAAAGCTGGGACCGGGAGCTGTGGAGTTTAGTGGCGTAACGGTTGCGGTGGGCTGCAAAACGGTCGGGCGACAGTTCCTTTTAAATAAGGGTCCCCGATCCGATAGCTTTTGCCCCTCCGCCGTAGCTGGGTTCGCGCGGGCAACACCAACTATACCCCATCCGAAAAAAGCAGACGCTGGGTGAACGGCGGGAAGCGAAATTGTGGGGGGGTGAAACGACAAAAAAATCATGAAGCTGCGGGTATTTCTTCGCTTCTTGGAGTGCGATTGAGTCGTTAGGGGACTTCGCATGAAGGGCAATTTTCGAAGTTGCCTAGCAAGAAACACAGCGGCAAGGAGGCCTAGGACCCCCGGTGTTTAAACGCACACCTCGGGAAATTCTTCAGAAAAAGGGAGCGTGGGAGCAGTCATAGCTTCGGGAACTTATCGACTAGCGACGAGCGGTGCGGTGTAACATCTGCAAAGCGCCGGTGGGAGAAACGTGGTATTTTATTAAGCAACATCGGCGGGAGCAGTTTCGACGACGGAGTCAACGGCGTTGATGCCACTAGGTTCCGTGAAATTCGGTCTCGGAATAACCCAGGGCAGTCCCCAGTTCTCGATTGAACCCACATGCTGGGGTCGGGTAACCGACGGAAACTGATGGTGACTGGGTGGGCGGCTATAGCACGTCCGAGATTTTTGGAGGAGAACTGCAACTAAAACTACGTATTTACGGGGTTTGATTCGAGCGACTATTTCGAAGTTTTTACGTGGGGACTTACCGGTTTTACGGCAAAGAGCGCCGACAATTTCGGAGGAGTTGCGGCGTTTGGTTAAACGCGCGCGTCAAACGAAGTGGGTCAGCACCGCGAGATTTACACAGACTTTTTCAGGGGTACGAAGGACTTACAACGAACTGAAGAAGGAAGCAGCAACAGTGAAGGGGGGGAGAGACAGCTGTAAAATTTCATCCCTGCCCACGAACCATCGGCGCTTTACGACAAAACTCTCAAAGATTCCATTCCAACTCTACCACTGCCTTCGACCCGCCCACGACAACTGCATTAAGT